CCGGTGGTCCCAAATCGACGCTCTGATACCAATTTGATAGGAAATACTTGAAATCAAGTAATTCCTAGCCAAAACTGAAGCGGAACCAGGGAAAAACTGCTGTCTCCAGCAGTGGACAGCAGCTTTGTACAAGAAAACAGTGAGGAAACGCGAGAAAACTGAGATCCAACGCAAGCAAAGGTTAGTATTTTATTAGTAGACGAATAAAATGGCAAAGATACAATTTGTTCTTCAATTCAAGAGGAAGAACGTACTCTCCAAAGTCTCCGGCGAAGCCAAAACAAAACCTAGATCTCAAAGAGAAAACTCAAATTCAAGATAATCCTAATTCCCCCCATCTTCCTAATTAAAGCAAAAGGAAATATACAAATTACATAAACACCCTCCTCATTCAAAATTTCCCTCCAACGAAATGCTCAAAATCCTCCTAGCCCGCCTCTTCTTCCGCCTTTTCTACGAACAGGTTCCGCCCGGCTTTGGACCGCCAGGCGTAGAACCGGACCGGTCCAGCTGGGACCGGTCCAAGCGTAACACACTGCCAATCCTGACTCCAGGCAAACACACCGAGTAGCTAAACACATCCCTCTCTATCCGACCCAGCGCCTCCAGTTGACCTTCAATCCTCCAAGCCGAGACTTCCACATAAGCTCGACTCCCTTCACTTTGTTGATCCACTCCACTTGCTTCCTTTCTCCAACAGCTAAACACTCACAACCTTCCATCACTTCAAATACATAATCCAACCCAACTTCCTTCTTAACCTGCTGCTGTCCAACCCATCACCAATTACCCACAAAATTCCACACAGTATAGCCTACTGTTGTCTGAACCTCAAGCAAGCAACAACCCTCAATTACTTACCTTTTTCTCACAAATAGTAACTTTCTAACCCACTTACTTGACCAAAAATCAGCCCATTTTATCTAATTATTATTATCATTAATTAAAAAAAGAGAGAAGGAAAAGACAAGAGGAAGAAAAGAGATTTTTTTTTGCACTTTCATCATTTGTCATCGCCTTGATACCGTCGTTTCTCCTCTCTTGCGCAAAGATATATTGTCATATAAACTCAAAAATCCTGAAATCTTGTTTTCGGCGCTTGCGGCGCGTTGGGTGACCAGCTATGCACGTTTTTTTTAAGTGGTGGGAGGGAATTAGGTGCGGCGCTTGTGGCGAGATTGGTGAGCCTTGTGCATGCTTTTCTTAGCATGATGAGGTAAAACTTAAGTACCCGTGTACGAGCTTCTATGCATGTAGGGAAAAACTGCATAATTTTCACCTAGATACCCCTAAAGACACATGCACGCCCTTTTTGGCTTAGCAGGATTGAAAATCATAGTCGCGGTAATGCTGATACCGCTCATGCACGTCTTTCTTGATGTAGTGGTCAGGCTAAGACTGTCATAAATGGGAGAGATACCGGGAGGCTACCGTGCAAAAATTTACCATAAGTTCTTTATATCGAATTGATCAAAATTAAATGTACAATTTTATAAAATTTATTTCGTTAAAATCCGACAACTTCGAAAATTTGATCCGCACCACAACGCATTGTTACACTACAATTCAGTGTTTTCGGGTTTTACAACAGTGCACTTATTGAAGATTGAGATATTGAACAATAGATTTAGATGGTATGAGCATTTATGATAGAATGGAAGACAGAACCAACAAAGTTGATAAAATTAACGTGAAGGGAGTAGAAAAAATGTGCTCCAAAGATAACTTGATTTGAAGTGTGCAAAAAGACTTGGACAAAATAAGTCTTACTGCTTACATCACATGCACTACTCAACTAAAGTGAATGGAGGCGGGGGTTCATAAAACCAATCCCAAATAGTTTTGATACAGCTAATGAAGATGATGCGGAATTCAATATCAATTGTAGTAAAACAAATACATTTATGAAGTATAAAAGAAACTCCATTTCCTAGTTTCCAAAAATTGTCTTAATTTCTATTAAATTATTTTGGCTTTGTAAGCGATCAAATGCTTCAGTCAGAATATCCATAGTTTAAGCATAGCTTGAGATTAGCTGAAAGATGGAGGAAGATGGTTTTGTACAGTAGATAGTGTCGATGTTGGCAGAGGAATATGGGTTTCAGTGATTGTTATCACTGCACGTGCCTATGGGGTAAGTGATTCTTTCAGAGATGCTTGGTTTGGTGGAGCTTGTTGGTGGAAGATCTCAGCATTGGGTAGCTTGTTCATAATGGAGATGAAAACTTGTAAATACTGACTGCTGGAAGAGTTAAGCTTCCAGAAATGCTTGTTTATCTCGAAAAGAAGCACCTAGGGTAGGAAATTGGCTTCCGGAATAACTTGGCATCAGAAGGATTACTCACAAGGGATACGCAGCAGCACAGGGTTTTGGAAACGAGGCTGTTAACCACTTTGGGTTGGCCACCTGAGAAAGGAAGGAGGCTATGATATTGGCTTTTCCAAGCTTTAGGTGGAATCTGTTAGCGCACATATCTATATCTAGAGACATCTGCATAGCACCGATATCTGTTGGCATCTGTAGACAACCAATATTGGTTGCTCTTAACAGTAACAAAAAACCGGAAGAATTGCTATGGTTATTGAGAGAAATTTCCGCTAAGATGACTACAAATCTGATACTTCATTTCTGAATTGTGGTTCATCACTCTATTATGATGTATGTCAGCGCTTTTGCTTTTTGGAGATCAGAGCGTATCAAATGTAGTATTAAAATGTGATTCTTATGCTTGTTGTAAATACAATATGCACCCCTCATTTTAAATTCTAGATGTTTATAACAGCATCTAACTTATGCAATGACCGCATCTTGTTAAAAATATACAGGATTCCTTTCTCAATAAAATGTCATTAAATAGGAAGACCAGGGGGGCTTTTTTGTTCGAATATACGTGATATGGCTAATAAACTCAGAGGGAACCATGAAGTTATTTTAAAACAGGGGTTACCTAGTGCATGAAGTTCCTGTTAATACGAGATATGGTAAAGGTTTGATGCATGCAACCTTACCCCTTATTGGTAAAAAGGTTATTATTAAAACTTAGGACGTCCTGAATACATGAGGTCTCCCTTAAACCATTGCTCGAGACCGACACTATTTGAAGTTCTTGATAAGTGATAGTTTAGTCGTCATATCAAGTTCTAAGCTAATCAAAATGCTTAAAATTGAGTTCTAAGCTAATCAGAAAGCTTAAAATTGAGTTTTGTACAAGGACCAGTTAGCTGAAGAGTAAGCTTGGTATTATCAACAATGCAGAAATTATTAGGCAAGGAAAGGCTTTGTAACGGTTGTGTAATTAAATTCTTAATGGCATTATTGCTTTTGCGAGCTAGCTGGCTGAATGGAATATTAATATCATTAATTTGAATACTGAAAAAAGCCTGATTTTTCGAAACTTAATCTTGAAGAGAACAATTTTTTTATTCATGTTTAGCAAGCTCATTCACGTTCAATTTAGGCTTGGTACCTGCATATGGTTTAGTTAAATATTTTCATGCACCTTCTTATGTAGCAGATTTTTTGAAGCATTACAATGAACAATGAAATATGGGATAAATTTTCATAGAAATGCTAGCTTTTTGATGATTTTTTTCCCTTAAATTCTGTTGGTTAAGGTGCATATTTTCTGGTGAAAAATTTAAAATTTCCTGAACTCTAATCTGATTCCTAGCTGTGATACCTTCAGACTTTTCTAATTCTCTATATGATGCTATTTTATCCTTAACTTTTTGAAGGGAGCAGTTCCTGTTTTCCTACGATACAGCAGAGGAAATGAAAGCAGCAGTTTCCAAAAACAATCATGAGCTGGTCTTTGTATATGATTGCAATCTTGTGGATGAGATATGGAGAGAATCAAGACCAAAGCCTCCTTTTAAGCCAATTAGAGTGCATGATATCAAGTATGCTGGTGTAGATGTCTCTTCAAAACTGTCTACTTTACGATCAGAACTTATAGAAGCAAGTTGTACGGCTACTGTTATATCAATGCTTGATGAAGTTGCTTGGCTTTTAAACTTGGTAATTCTCAACCTGTAGGTTTTCTTTAATTTGGATTGGTTATTACTATTCTTGAATGACTAATTTCTTTCAAAGATTGGAGGCACATTATAGTTGAAGACCATTATGCATTCTCTCAATTGAACGTAGTTTTGTCTTGGAATTATAGAAGTATCACTTGAAAACATAAAATTCATTCTTGTGGCCTAAGGCCTTTTGCTTTTGTGGGATCTGTATCAGTGTAAAATTCTTGAGCCGATCAAAACATGATCCAAAGTTTGGTTTTTATTTGATGCAGTACAAGTCTACCAAAGTCCTTAGTCATGACTTATGAGTTCGCATTTTAATGTCATTTAATGTAGCCTGTGGTCATCCTTCTTCATATTTAAGCTAATTATTAATGGTTTAAATATCATTTATTTTCTATGACCAATTTGGTATTTTTATAATTATTTAGGGATAGTTTTGTCATTTTCAATGATGCTTATTTCTACTGGTACCCAAGGTGTTGTTATTTAGTTAGTTTGAGATGGAATAAAGTGGTTTTCTTTCTGGCATCAACTTCAGGGAATTATTCTCTCTTTTAGAGTATCATCTAACTTTCTTCCTCTCTGCCTCCTGCCTCTCATTGAGGTATTTATTTGTCTAATTATATGAATCCTTTCTTCTCTTTATTCTTTTGATTCTCCTCCTATACCATATTCTTATGTTCTCTACTATCAAAATATTTTTCGTTCCCCACTTGTCTTCATTCTGGCATCAGAGCAAAAATTTTGCCATCTACAATTGATTTTTTGTAACATGTTTAAATCCTTGTAAAGTTTCGTTGCACATTAAAAGTCATTTCAAGTTAGTACTAGCTAGTTAAATTCCCATTCATATGACAGAGCCATCCCTTAACATCCTTGTTGATGTTGACTTTTTTTAGTTGCAAGTTGCAACCTCATGGATGCCCTAATCTCTCACCTTCGCTTCATTTCAGTTGTCAAGATAGTCAATCTTGACACTAGAAGTGTAACACCATAGCTAGGAGATTAATCCATCCCGTTCCATATATTTTTTGCAGGAAACATGCAATATTCTCTCATTTAACATAAACATCGATGTCTCCATGTGTTCAAGTAAGTTCCCTACATCTTCACATACACTTGCACTTTTGTTGTTGACCCTAATACTAGCTCTAGGATTGAGTCAATCGTGCACGACAAAAATGACGACTGAAGACGTGACTTCGCGTGAAACTTTTCAAACACATCAATCGAATATTAAAATTACCGAAACAATGTCCATTACTGAAACAAATAGCATCGGTACGTTCGGTTTTTTTTAAAAAGCTAACATCAATACTCATATTAGCTGAGGTTTTCGACTTATAAAAATAAAAAATTTGCATGTGCAAAATGAGGTTGAAATCGACGTTTGTGAACGACGAAAGTTCATTGAGAAAATTGATGCATGTTTAATATAAATAATTTTTTATTACTAATGTCAAAAACTAATTTTAAATTTATATTTAAAAAAATAATTAATTTTTATAAAATATTATTAATATAAATAATAAGAAAAGTACAAAAAAGGATGGATGTCCTTTCAAGGCTATCTTTGGTTTGCTTTTTCAGAAAAAGTTGAAAAGAAAAAAAAAAAAGAAAAAAGGAAAAAAAAAGGGGTGGGGGAAATCTTACTACCAATAACCCCCTCTCATTCCCTCACACTCAAAAAAGCAACGGACTCACGCCCTAGGTCATGCATGCAACGCCCCCGCTTGACCCCATGCGCAACCCCCACTTGCAATTCATCGGCAGCTGCTCAACCTGTTACATATAGACAAGGCCGCCGTATTGTCTTATTCCTTTGTCCTTCCTTCTCTTCTTTCTTCTTTCTTCTTCTTTCTCTTCTTTTTTTGTTCTTCTTCTTCTTCCTTCCATTTCCTCCATTTTCTTTTCCTCCCTCATCTTACTATCTCTTTTTCCCTCTCTACATTGTCTTCCCTCCAACACCTCACTCTCTGCAAATCTTAACTTAATATTATACTTTTCTTTTAATGGCCAACATTTTGCGCCATAAAGCATTGCAGGTCTAACACCATCTTATAGAATTTTCACTTAAGTTTAAGTGGTACTTTTCTATCACACAACAAGCTCGATGCATTCCTTTACTTTAACCATCCAACTTGAATTGTACTAATAATATCCCCATTTATTTCACCATCATTCTGAACAATAGACTCAAGATATCTAAAATGTGTACTCTGATTAATGACTTGCTCGCCCAAAGCCACAAACCCCCCACTAGATCTATTACTACTAAAATTACACTCCGTGTATTCGGTTTTAGATCTACTCAAATGAAAACCTTTAGACTCTAAGGTTGACCTCCATAATTCGAGTTTACCTTCAACTCTCTCTTTAGTCTTATCAACAAGAAGTACGTTAGCAAAAAGCATAAACCAGGGAACATCCTCTTGAAAATCTCTAGTAAGAACATTGAATGCTAAAGCAAAAAGATATAGGCTTAAAGTTGATCCTTGATGTAATCCAACTTAAATTGAAAAATACTAGGTCAAACCACCTTGTGTTTGAACACAAGTAATAGCTCCAGCATACATATCCCTAATGACTTGAATATAAGCATTATTAACATCTTTCTTTTTTAGAACTCTCCATAGCACTTCTCTTGGGACTTTATCATATGATTTCTCTAAATCAATAAATATCATATGAAGATCCTCCGTATTCTCTCTTAAATGTTAAATTATGGGTATGACCCCAATACTGTACATTCGCATGAACGATTGACACATGTTAGATCTTTATAAACCCCCAACAATTGTTTCATGGGAATACCTTTGAAAAAAAATAAAATGAACAAATATGTTGCAAATCATGGGTGTACCAGTGCCCTAAGTAACACACATGCTAGCTACTAAAGCAATGGAACTCATGCATATCTCGTGAACATGTCTTATATCCCGTGAATGAAAAGAAACAAAATAGTAGACTGTCATGCATCATAGATTGTACGAATGCTTCAACAAAGTGCACGACACACATCAAATCATTAAAAGAAAAGCTTATCTACACGTCCCCTATGCGTATAGTGCTAGTGCAACTAAGACATACAAATGCACTATACTCACGCACAAAGAAGTGTATAAGCATTATAACTTGCTAATGCGTTGTACAAGCTCTTGAAAAAGTGTATAATCATTCAAGTATACAAATGCACCATGTAAGTGCATCAAATTCATGCAGGCGCGTCGCGCAAGTGCATTATGAACATACGAATGCATTACGTGAAAGCATCATAGAACATGCAAATATGCTGTGAAAATGCATAAAAAAAATATGTTAGTGCAATGAAATCTCACGACTAATTTTTAAATATTAAATCTCTTTTAAAAATCAAATGTCCGCATGTGCTTTGACAAGCGTGACAAATATTCAAGCATGATGTTCGAGAGTGTTGCGCGGACTATAGAATAATAAATAAATTTTTAACCTTGTTCTAAAAAATGTGTAAACATGCCATAAAATGCCCCAAAATATGTGCAATTGCATCAAAAAGTGTGCCAATCTGGCCAATGTATGTGAACACACTAAATAAGTGTGCCATAAAATGTGCAAGTGTATCGTATAAATGCACAAAAAAATGCATGCATCATTTGAAAGATATTTAAATTATCTAGATGTGTGATGAATATGCTAAATATTTAATTTCACTGCCTGAGAATGCTGAGCGGATTAAATATAAACATAAAGTTTCATGTCTAATCCTACTAAAAAGGACTAGAGTTGATAAGATTTGAACCCGATGAATAAACACATGGCGTGAAATCTACGATAATATGTTATTTTTTAAAGTTCACATTAAGCCTTCAATGTCGTTTATAAAGGAAACTCATTATAAAAATACAAACTCTCAGATTTGACACTCGCATAATGATTCACAAAGCTAATATCGAACCTAATCCGGTGTTAGCAAGTAAGTAGAGTTGGTAAGACTAAAATAACATAATAAAGAAGAAAGAATTTCATGCGGGCTAAATAATGACTTGAATTTTGTTTCCAATCCTTTCCCTTAAAAGGATTGGAGTCGACAAGACTTGAATTAATGAGCGAATGCAGGGCCATGAAATTTATGAAGTTATTATTTTTTAATGTTCATAATAGTCCTAGGCTATCTTTGAAAAAAAAAATCATTACAAATGAATACGAACTCTCTAGCTTAATGCGCATGATAATTCACAAAAAGTTGACATGCGAGCTCGATCCTCTATTAATATGCAGACAAAGTTGACAGGGTTAAAATAACAAAATAAATTTATTCAATTCCTGATGATGATCGTGTTGACACAAAATCTCAACTGGAGGGGATAACTTAATTTAAAAAAAATGTCCTGATATCCTAAATCAATTATTCATGGCTTAAGTTTATTAAAAAAATTAAAAAATTCTATACATATCAACATTTGAATATTTAAAATGAAATTAATAACTAATTTAAAGTAAAAAATTCATCCATATTCCACAACTGTTTATTGATGTGAATAAATTTGAGAATAACTCTAGCTAACAAAGAGTGAATATCTTATCGAGTATATCGCTAACATTCATTCTCAAATAATCTTTGCGAATAAGGACATGAACATGTTCTCTAATAGATGGTTCTATTATTAAATGACAGGTAAATGGTTACGGGCTCTCTAACCAAGTGGTTTCCTGCTAATTGACACCATTATATTATAGTTATAGTCAGAGCATGTATGTTCTTCAAATATCCATTTGTTAGTTAGGGTTACTAAATCTGTCCTCTTAGATATCCTTTGATGAAGCAACCTATGACTGTCGACATGGATGCTTTGTTCAGGTTGGATTAACTACCTCCTATGACTAAATAAACTAGGGATCGTGACAGACTGAGATGATGGAACCATGAGATTTTTATCCGGCTCGTCATAATTCCGCTACTACTCGCTTAAGTATACAGTGGTCAATTTCAAATCTTAAAAGTTTAAATTCAAACCCTAAAATTGTTGCTAGTATATGCTGGGCATTTAGTGTTTATCTAACAACTAGCTTTATTCGAAATTGCTCTTATGCTTATGGAGGGGTAATTTTCCAATTGTGCCTATGGGAAATCTCGAACCAGATCTTAAGTCCTCACTTAGTGCCTAGCGTCTCATTTAAATCCAATCTTCCTTATGAAAATTTGACCTGAAACTTAGTCCCTTAAAACTCGTATAAAAAAATGTGTTGAGAATTCGGGGAGCTAATTTTTGGAACCCTTAGGTTTTTGGTGACTATGCTTGGGAGGTTTATCTTTTAATCTTGGGTTAGTCATACATAAACTATAATATCAGCAAAAGCCTAGCTCCACGGGATGAAAATAGAGGCATGACATTTTAACCATACGTCTAAATATCCATCGTTGAAAGGTTCTGATAGAAATGAAAGCAAATAGAGAGACAAAAATCTCCAAAAACTTTTACTAAGAGAAAGAAAGGCGTGACATCTGATTTGTATTTCCATAGATCTGTCATTAGAGAAATTCATCAAAACTGAGTGGATTATATTGTCTCAAGCTATACCCTATTCAATAAAAAAGAGCTGTATCTCATTTAGGAAGTAACACTGAAGAAAATGATGACATCTCTGCTAAGCTTGAGGCGATGTGCAAAGGCTCGATAAAATCCTATTCATCCATGAAGTATTCCTAATTAGTAGTTCTTTTTCTTAATAACTTTTGGATCATCACAGATATTGTAGCAACATTTCAATTGGCTGGTTACAGATGATCACTTTAGCTGATACTGCTTAGATATTCCCCTCCTTGCTCCTTTTTATAAGGAGCAGCTCTGTTGCATGAGTTTGACCTCTCAAGAACATCACCATTCTGTTCATTTAACATCAGATTTTGTTTTCAACTCAAATATGCAGTAACTTATTTTGTGCAGTTGATTTCCATCATGTTTGTGTGCTCTTTGTATTCTTTGCTTTTATATTCGTTTGCACTTTGAACTCTTTGGATTTACTGGAAAAGTTAACGAATTGACTTTAAGTAGGTAATAATCAGAAAAAAAGTCCCTGAAGTAAACCCCTGATTTGTAGATTTAGATTGAGCAGTAATCGATGTTACCTGCAATTTCTAACTGGACACGTAAGTTCTATGATTGCTACTTTTATGCTATTCATATGGTATTCAGCAAATGTCAAACCAAATTAACCTACATTTAGTTGAAGCTTTATCATATTCTTTAAATTAATCAGTACTAGGAGGATTCTGGATGGCCAGATGTTCTATTTCAGTTCTTCATTTGTCATTATATTTTCTACTTACATTTCATTTGATGACTAATATTTATTGGGTTTTGTAGAGAGGAAGTGATGTTCCACATTCACCTGTCTTCTATTCATATTTGGTTGTGAGTTATACTAGTGCCACCTTATTTGTTGATGCTAATAAGGTTACTGAGGAAGTATTGGTTCATCTGTCAAAAGCTGGAGTACAATTGAGACCATATGAAGCCATTCTTTCTGAGATAGAGAGGTATTCTTGTAACCTGAAGAAAAGTGTTCTTCTTTGACTTGTTCTTACTTAAGGACAAACATTGCAGCCAGAGGTTCAGTATGTTCTTTTGATAATATCATTATTTACTATATTGCTTATTTGTCTGCATTATATGTTTCTTGCCATTTTTTTTAACCTTGTACCAGTAACTTATTTTGGTGATTGTATTGTGAATTTAGGTTTTAGCTTGATGGTAAACGTGAAGTTAATTTTGATGATTTTAGAAGGGCATAAATATTCATATTCATCAATAATGTTCATGTCTTATATTTTGAAACTCTCAGTTTTGATAGCTATTTATTTCTTGGACAAAATTTACTTAATGTTTCAATAGTAGAGGGGGAAGAGGGAGGAACTCCACATGCATGATTTGGCTACACAACTTGGAGCTATCCACATACATAACTGGGAGTAATCTTCATATACAACTTTGATTAGGAGAACACTCAGTCAGCTTGGCAAATAATTCACATTCATTTAATTATTAATATTTCTAATTTGAACACGTTCCATCAATCCACATGCACAACTTAGCGCGGTTCACATTCACAACTTGGATCGATCTGCTGTACACAAACTTAGATCTAGAGACCACTCAAGTGGAATGACAAATAATTTAGATTCATTTAATTATAAATCTTCCAATTTGAATACATTCCATTAAGCCTTTGTTATAGAAATATAGGGTTAAGATGACATGGCCAAATGATTTGAATTCAATTGTAATCCTATTTGCAATTAAATCTAGCCCTAATAGAACATATAAATTTAAATTTAATTTTATTGTCCAAAGAAGGTAATACAACCTAATAAAATAAGTTAAATTAAAAATAAGAGAAATTCAACCATAAATAGAAATGGTTCTTAAAAGATTGAAAATAGTTTTGAGTTCAGTTGTTTTGTAGTTTGATTCAGCTCATTTTGATTGTTTATTAGAATCTAGTATGTTCTAGGTTAAACTAGATGATTTGTATTGCATCAATTCACCGACCAATAAAGAATTCTTTTCCTGGAGAGTTTGCAGTAGTTCACTAGATGAAGTTTCATCATTAGATCATATGATGGTAAAAGCGTCCTTGAAGTAGAGAGATCAACATGAATTAATCCACAGAACACACTAGGATTTGGAAGCTTGGGTGTTGGATGGTTTCAAATTTCAAACACTTGTAAGTTTTTCACAATGTGGACTAACAATCAATTAGGAGATGATGATGGCCACAACAACATAAATTCAATCTTTTGTAGGAATAACTGAAGCAAGCTATGGTAATAGCAATCAAATATAATTTTCAATGAATTCTCTCATGTTGAATTACATTGTTGGGCTTAGACACTTCATCAAACATAGGATTTGGCTTATCCTCCAATAATATTTATGAATCAACCTCAAATATAATAGTACATTCAGATATCATCATTGTCACGACCCGGCCCGGTTAGCTCGCGTAGGCGAGGCGGGAACAGAGGTCGGACGGTAGGTCAAGCATCTAAATTCCTAAATCTATCAATTCCTTAAATAAATCTCCAATATATTTTGAAAGAGCCACTATAACAATAAAGTTTGAAATCACATTAACATATAAGCAAACATATTCTTCGTCCTAAACATTAGGGGTAGAATTGGCATTATGAGACTTCTCTTAATTTTAATTCTTAAATTAAGCAAAATCAAATATAAGTCCTTTACATCAAATTTCTTAGAATTTTGCGTAGAATTTTATAAAATTAATCCCGTTGAAATCCGACAACATTGAATTTTTCACTTAAAACTCGTCGCGGCGCTTTGAAAAGCGTGCGAGGTCTAAAACAGCATTTTCGGGTTTTCACAATCATCTCATAATTATTATCAAAGTTCATTTCATTATTTGAAAGAGGTGTGTCATCATAAATATCTTCATAAGGACTATCATCATAAAGTTCATCATCAGTAAGAGATCTATCATCATAAGCATCTTTGCAAGGATCATTATTATAGCAAGAGGGTGGGTGGTGGATTTGAGCCTTTTATTTGCTATTTTGGCTTTGGTGATATCGTGATTTAGTTAATGGCTATGATGAAAATAGTTATATTGGGCTAAAATTTTAATGCAATGAACATATAAGGATAGTTTGGTTTGCTACATGGAATATGGAAGGATTGAAAGAACTTTTTAGCTAGTCGAGATGACATTTTGAGAGATAAATTAATACAATTTCTTAAAATAAATAAATAAATAACCAATTAATTAAAAAAGGTGAATTTCTTAAAATAAATAAATAATCAATTAATTGATGTTAATTAATACAAAATTGAGAGATCAAATTAGTCAGCTGGATTCACATGAGGCAATTTTTGGGTAAGAAAAGATAGTTAATTAGTATGTTTTAAATAATATTTATGCATTATAAAGTATATATGGGGATTTAAAAAAAAGTATATATGGGGATGGGGAATAAATTGTCAATTTAATAATATGATGCTTTTCGATAAATCCAGAGTTCTTTGCTTTATCTCTATTTAGAACATCTACATGGCGCACACAGGATCACTTCTAGACATTGATATCTATATGTATTCTGTAATGCATTATTGTTGTTGTTGTTGTTATTATTATTATTATTATTATTATTATTATTATTATTATTATTATTTTCCAGTTTGTCTGACCAAGGGGCAAAACTTCTGTTGGATCCATCAACTGTAAATGCCGCAATTGTCAACCTATTCAATTCTGCTTCTAATAGACATCTACATAGATCTGAAAATAAAGTTAAGGGAAACATTGGTCGAGGAACTCATCTTGAAAGTACAACACAAAAAGACGCACCGGTTCAGGTTAATGGGCACAATACTCTATTTAAGATTTCCCCCATCTCTCTATCCAAGGCCCTGAAAAATGAAGCAGAAATCAAGGGGATGCGGAATGCACATCTGAGGTACCTAGATACGAAATGCACGTTTTCTTGCTTTTACTATATCTTGTGTTAGCGAAGCAACTTTTTTTCTGATCATAACATGTATAGAATATTATTCTATGAAATAGAAGTGGATGATTATTTAGTTGATGTCTCAAGAAAAAGGCAATATACCACGCAGGCATATTAGTTTGGCTTAACAGTGTACAAACAGCTATTTTTAGCCATGCGGCATGCTATTCTTTATGATATGCAGTTTAATATAATTGGCAAAATGTTGTCCATCCGTTGCTGAATTCATGTTTTCCTGGATCTCTTTTCATCTAAACATTAGTCAAGTTTCTTATGTGATTTATGTGTGGAAACTAATACAAACCAAGTGATTGTTACTGTATTTTTTACAGCAATAAAAATACTATAGATCCCCACATCAAACAACAATATAGGAGGCATACATAGATATTGGAGTAGAGAATCATCCGAAAGGCTCCAAAACATCCAAGAAAAAGAAAAACAAAGAAATTAGAGAGACTGGATAGTTTAGTTGGAGTGAACTTTGCACGGGTGGCTGGACTTTGCAACCAAACCAACAGCTCGAATTGCTTTTTCTAATTGGCTTCTACGTTCGCTTCAGCAGACACTACCGAAGCATAACAACGGAAACATGCATCACTCCATGGATGTGATGAGCAAGATCACGATTTAAAACTTCTGGAGTTTATTTCAGTTTAGTTGCATAAATAAGTTAGCATCAGATGATCAAAATTAGTAGTTTTCAGTGAATTGTTTGATTCTTCAAGAAGAGATAGCAGATTTGATACTGCTAGGAGCAGGCTATTGTTGAAACTACAAAGAGTACTTTTGGAGTTTTTAGAGAAATCCCCATGCCACATGCATCTTTTGTTATCTCCATGTTCCCTGTTGACCTCTTCATCTATTTCAAAACCCAAATTGATCAAATGGGACAAAATGATGGCCAATTGATGCAGTATTGAGCCAATTATATTCAAAACAGTTTGCCTGCATGAAAATCAAACAGTTGTGACCCATTTTACAAAATGGATTGCATTAATACGGTCCTAAGAGTTGAAATTGCCAAAAAGGGCACTGAGATTGATTTGATTGAACCTGACCAAAACGACGAAAAATAGATGTAACTTGATGCATCTGATTTGATACACACTGCACAAAAAAAAAAAAACTACTCAATTGTCGGCCTTTTTGGAAAATGAATTGCGGTGACACATCTGAAACATTACAACTAGCCAGAGAAGGCACCCATATTACTTAGGTCATCACATGAAGGAGAAACATAATTTATTCACATGCGTCATGGTGACATGAAGGAGTTTATTCATTCATGAGAAACGTGGAATTGCATTAGGAGCTATTCACATGTTTTTTTTGTACTTTATAACCTAAGAAAATTTAAATTTAGGATTAAAAAAATCATCAATCAATGGACGTACCCATCTAATCCTAGGAATCCTTCAACATAGTTCTTTCACTGTGCATAAGGTTTCATAACCATCTTGCTCACCTATTAATCTTTTCTCTATTATTCCTTAATGACCCAATAAACCCTCACTCACTCGAAACTTCTCCTCCAAGTCTCACTCTCATGTACTCGCCTCTCTCTTGCATTTTTCAACTCTTTGTCAGTCTCAACCCACGCCATAGCTCTATCACTGTAGCTCTTTTGCCCGCTGCCCTTGCTACCCATGTTGTTGTCAAACAACTTTCATGCTGTGATCTCCAAACCACACCCAACTGCTGATAGCATTCCCCTCCAACACTAGGCTTCGATCACATTTCACTGTCTTTATTCTCTACCCCGCTCCTTCCTCTTCTCTCTCGATGGAACGTGCACCTATCTCGCCTCCTGTGCAAACTATCGCAAGCTTTCTCTTTCACAACAAATGTTTGCCATCGATCCCTACTCTCAATTTATGAATCCTCAAATCGAGATTGATTTCCAGCAACTCCGAACTTCCATCTCTTTCCCAAGCAATCATGCTTCGAATAAACCACACCTGAAACTATTGCTGTTAACTTCATACATTCATCGTCAGCAAACCATTACTCCAGTTGCATCAACATCTGCACATATCGTAGTTCGTCAAGCGTGCTTACTCTTCTCCAAACAATGGCAGTCAAAAACAAAAACTCCTCGCACTTCAGCACCAAGCCGAGAAAAGCCGCATAGCTTGCAACCCTTCTCGCACCTCCTCAGCTTTACTCTATTTCTCTTCCTTTGACATTCACCATCTCTACCTTTATTTCTCTTTCTTTCTTTCTTACTCTCTCTTATAGATGAAATAAGAGGAAGAAAAGAAATTAAAAATAAGAAAAAAAAGATGAAAATAAGAGAAAAAAAACAAATATCAATATATGAAAATAAGAGGAAGAAAATAAAATAAGAGCAAGAAGCCCGATAACATTTCTTTCTTTCTCTCTCTTATAGATGAAAATAAGAGGAAGAAAAGAAAACAAAAATAAGAGAAAAAGTTGAAAAAAATAGAAAAAACAAAAATAAGAAAAAAAGATGAAAATAAGAGGAAGAAAAGAAAAAAAAAAAAGAAAACAAAGAGAAAAATGAAAAAAAGTGTACTCTGCCATCACAAATTCATCAACTCATCATCTCATCTTGTTGCCTCGCCTTGTGTGCTAAGAAAAATACAACATTTGATAACTTATAAAATCCTGATTGTGGCATGTTTTATGCGATGAGATGAATTCGTGCGTGTTATTCCTAGCATGGTGGATTAAACTCATACCAACACTTTGACTCTTAGCGTGCAACCCTATACATATTTTTCTTAGAATGGTTGAAAAAATATATTGCTTTATAAAATTTATTGTGCAAGTGAATTATACATGCCTTTCTCGGCATGTTAGGGCTTAGAATGGTAGGAAAAATATATTGCTTTGTAAAATTTATTGTGCCATTTAATTATACATGCCTTTCTCGGCATGTTAGGGAGAGATGACCCAAAAACTATATTAGTGCTCATGCATGTTGTTACAACACAATAGGGAAATCCCATGTTGCAATGTTTCATGTTTTTATATGAAGGATCATGCACATTTTTCTTGGTGTGATGTCGTGGAAGACTCCTAACTGTAGTGTCTTAGAACATCAACCATATAACCTTTCTTAAAATGATGGGCATGCCTAACACCTCTTGTTGGTACTCTATATTTGGGGGTGAAATTGGGCAATTGACAAAATTTTTATTCGAAACTCAAACAGAACAAGTTGAAAAGGATTTTTGAACATGAGTACAACATTAAAATGAAATTAAGCTAAGAATAAAATTGCAAAATTAAGGAATAAGAAGAAGTTTGTAAAATGAGGACCAAGTTGAGCACATAACTAGACTAAAATAGGACTTACTATAATAATTGGAGCTGGCAGAACTAGTTAGCTAAACCGGCCCAAATAAATTGGTTGTCTCTTATCAAAGAAGCAGGCATGGTGGAATTGGGGCAAGTGAGATAGAGGACACGACTACTCACATGGTTTAGGGTGAATTTGAGTTTGGCTTTGAGCGGTTTTATTGGAGATGGTCATAGAAGAAGAGGTTGTGCACAGAGAAGAGACATGTGGTTTTGTTTGATGCAAAAGACATAGAATGATAGAGGGTTAGAAGGCGATGTGGACAAAAGAGAGAGTTTTGTTCAATTGTGCGTTTCTGTTGGACATGAAGGAAGAAGTGTTTGTTCGGTTCCTGTTCGACGAACACAAAGGAGAAGAAAAAACACTTTTTCCTTTCTATCGATCATGACACAATCGAACAAAATCCTCTCCTTTCTCATTTGCTACCTTCGAGCTCTCCGCTCTTTGCTCTCTGCATCGAACACAACGACATGCCTCTTCTATGTGCACAAACTCATCTTCTCTATCTTCGTCATCATTGAATCGCTTAAATCCAAAATCCAATTCACACTTAATTGCGAGAGTTATGCCCTTTGTTTGTCTCACCCTAATTCTTTCTTACCCGCTACTTCGATTAGGGGAAATTGATTTCTCTGATCGGGTTTAGCCGGCTCTAGCTAGTACAATTATAACTTGAAAGCTCGCCTGAAAATATCAACGAAACTTCCCACTACTCCTAGAATACTTTGAACACTCATGAACACAACCTATGAAATATAAACAGGAGACTAGAATTAGTGCAAAATGAACTACAATTCCCCTCGTGTTTGTAGGAGATTTTGATTCTTTTCATGGCTCTTATCTTTGAAAAATCCAGCCATATTACAAACAAAAATTATGTCATCTTGAAACATGTGATAACATTCTAACTCGTTCTCTTCCCAACTTGATATGCAATTCATACTTGCAAGTGGACGGAATACAATGTTTTAAAGCTCAAAATGAAACTTTGTGTGCATCTTAAAGACATGCTGTTTGTGTAAACAATCAAAGCTGAATAATTTTAAGTCCCCTATGTGCATCATAAAGCAATTTTCAACTCAAATGAGATGCTTTGAAATTCATGCTAGCTCATTGAAATGTGTACACCTCCTCTTAAGGATACATCAAATTGCCCCCATGTGTTCTGATAAATATCTTAAAATTCAAATCTAAATATCAAAATACTATGCATGCTAAAAATAAAATGAGCTGAAATTTCCACTGCCTCGAAAAGCATGTAGCTATTTCAAAAATCATGCAATCATTTTAAAACTTAACAATCTCTCTCTCTTTCAAACTTAAATTTATCTATGTATATGCATGCTCTTTAGCAAGTTGCCTTATGTATAGGGTAGTGTTATAAGTCCCATATTTCAAATTTGACCCTAGATGTTCCAAAAATTGGAGTCGATAATATTTGAGCTTTTGCGACAAACTTCTATGCCAAAAGCTTAAAATGTCAAGATATTTTGTTTTATGCTGAATTGACGTCTTTAAATTTTCTTAAAAAAGAGAATTTATTTTTAAAAAGCAATATCTCGAGGCTAGCTTTCCTCTATAGCAAACGCAATTTGAACATTCAAACACCTGATCCTCTACATGCGGGGGTAGAGTCAACAAGGTTTGTAATGTTGCAAATGTTTAAATGAACTTAAATCATAGGCAAATTATGAACCCAATCATCTAAACAAGCCTTATCTTAATGCAATAAAGCTCTATCACATCAACTACCTCTATGGTAGGAATCACAATTGCTTATCATAATTGAATGTCACCATTTTTTAAAAATCAAAGCTTTGAAGTTGTAAATATGTATGATGTGAATAGTTAAATCCCGTGAAATTGAATCTTAACCAAAGAGATCATATTTTTAAAATGTCCCTAAATCCCCTTGTCAAATTATTTTAATCCTGAATTTGCATAAATAATATTAATATTTAAAAAGTTTATAAAGTCTAAAAACTTTCCAGTAAAATCTACTGCCTAAAGCATAAAACAAAAATCCATCCATCATTCACAATATTTGCCGAGGGTGACAAAATTCAAGATTAGCTTAAGCTCACAAAGCATACAATCACTTTTGATACAAGTCATCAGGACATTGAAATCCTAAGCCTATTGTTTGATAAATTATTTTGTATTTAAAAATGAATGAAAGAAACATCTTAATTTGCATTGGCTTTGGTGATTTTGATTGATTAGAGGTGTGTGCTTTCTTCCTATCTTTTGCAACTCAAATGTTTTTTTACATGTAACCCTGCAAAGCTAGCTGTATTTGCATATGGCATCTCATCTATTTATGGGTATCACACGCTCTCTTAATTTTATCTATGACTTGGGGTAAGTTTATATGATGCTGTGTTTTATTCGTATAATGCTGTGTTTTATTTAGGTTTTTTTTTTAATGATTGTCGAGTAGCTTTAAAAGTTGCATCTTATTTAAAGCTTATCACATTCATTTAAGTGAAATTTATTAAGTTTGCATGATCTGTGACACAAGGATTTTCTATGACAGAGATGCAGCTGCATTAGCAGAATTTTGGGCTTGGCTGGAAGATGCAGTTCACAAGAATATGAATCTAACAGAAGCGGAAGTTGCCCAAAAACTACTTGAATTTCGCAGAAAGCAGTTTGGTTTTATTGACACTAGCTTTGAGACTATCAGCGGTATATTCTCGGGAATTAGTTTTTTTGAGATTAGGAAATCTATTGCGATCAAATTATTAGAAATAATTCCTACTCAATCTGTTGATTTGACCCATAAAGTATCTTTTAAGATCCTTCCATTTGATAATTGACCATCAAAGATATTAAATTAACGAGGTAGATCACATTGTAAGGTCATTCGTTATAAAATCGATCTGGGGGATGGGAAGGGGATTTAACTGCTTTAATTAGAAAATTTTTGGAAGAATTTAAGAAAATTTACGTTCATTGCAATAAAAAATAATAAATTGCAAGAATTGTAAAGAACATGAAGGAAGCAATGCAAACTGAATTTTTTTAGGTGGATTGGCCCTAACTAACTGTTATACTCAAGCTACTATATTAGGAATTCCAGCATTCTTTCCTTCACAATTTTCTGTCAGCGAAGCATTTAAAAGAATCCTTTCTCTCCTTCGCTTGGCTAAGTGAACCCTAATACCATTGGTTATAGGAAAGGGAACCTCTTCAAATCCTCCCAAGGCAATGATAGCACAAGCAAGTGGAATGAAAGAAGATCACTGAATCCTTACCCTTAATTGTAGGGTTACGGTAGTGACAAACAACTGGAGAATTTAAAAGAGGCTAGGTGAAAGATTTGGCTCAAGAAAGATTGAATTGAGTGTTTAGATCTCCTGAAAAGAATTGTAAATGAAGCTTTTATCATTAGCTATTCAACAGTGAAATGAGTCTTGCCTTTATAGGTAAAGAGTATGCTTAAATGACTCCAAAAATGGCCATACCTGGAATTATCAATTCCCAACTAAAGCAATTTTCCGTTATATAAAAAAAAAAACTAGTTATTGTTGACAGATTGTAGAGCTGTGGTTTGCTAAGGCCGTAGCTGTGACGTATTATGTCTAGATTTGAGATGTACCAAATATAGACCTGTGGCGAGTGTCATCTCTGTAGAACAAGCCATTTTTTGTCTGAGCTTCATGTGATCTGTTGTACATCACATGGGTCACCCGCAGCTTGTGGTTCTATGCACAACAATGAATATTTATTTTACAATTTTATATAGGATAGTAATGCATGACATTTTAGCAGTACGCTTTCTAATATATATAATATGAGATATTGAAAGCCATCAACAGGCATTTAAAATTTGCTCGATACATACTTTTTGTTTATAATATTCTTCTCGAACTTTGAAAACTAGAAACAACAACAACATCAAGCCTTTATCCCACTAAGTGGGGTTGGCTACATGAATCCTTTTTCTTCATTGTATCTTGTTAATAATCAAATTTTTATTTAAATCTAATAAAAATATCACTTTTAATATTTTATAATTAAAACTTTTTAGGTCAACCTCTACCTCTCTTACATAGGTCAAGTTTAATACATCTACTCTCCTAACCGGGTCATCAGAAGGCCGACGTTTTAATTGACCATACCATCTAAGGTGACTCTCTTTAATTTTATCTGCCACTGGAGCTACTCCAACTTTTTCACGTATATGCTTTTTTCGTATTATGTCTCTAAGAGTAAATCCACTCATCCACCCGAGCATCCTCATCTCTACAACACTTAACTTAATTGTATGCCTCTCTTTTAATGACAAACATTCTACGCCATTGTCACGATCAAGCCTAGAAATTTGACTTAAGGAGATGAGAATGAAAAGTCGGACGGTAGCAACAATTCAATTCATATTATAAACAAATTAACATACTTCTCAAAATAACCGAAGAGCCACCATTACAAAATTTTCTCAAATACTTAACATTTATATAAATCATAAATTACATGTTTTCATTTGTACGCCGTCTTTTATAGACAGACTCTTCTCTTTCAGTCATTTTTAATTCTCTAGAGACTTGCCTAAAATATTAGTTGGATAGGTTGAGTTTATAAAATAAACTCAGTGGATAATCTTTATATAATATAACCTTTAAACATGTACAAAATACAATGCATTTTTTTTCCTGATTTTATATACAATATTAGAATTTATATAAACAGTCATATAACGTTTAGTATATGCATCTCATTTTCCATTCATTTATTCATTCCTTTATACAATACATTTCATAAAAAAATTTCATTTATTCCTTTTCCAATTCAATTTATCCTTTTTCCAATTCAATTTGTATATGAATACCGTCTAAATGTACCAATAAAGGTACAACCATTTTTTATTTTCATTTAACGTGCATGGGTGCGTTGCTTCCCAAGTCAGTACCATACGAGGGTGAACTCCTGTAATTTGCATGCATTTCTTTTTACCTTTTTTATTTATTCATTTATGTTTTATAATTTACATCATTTTCTTAACATTTATTTATTTACATTCTTATATGTATATGCATATCATACATATATGTATGCTTTTCAACTTTACTTTCCATTTCATTTACATGTATTTTGTTCGCATGTATTTTCTTTTAAATATTCATATACTTTTATATTCTCATAATATTTCAATCATTTTCATTTATAACAATTTCTACATCAATCTATGCATTAGAATTTCCATTGCCTCATTCATGATAGTCTCCAAAAAGAAGTAAAATAGTTATATGAACTACTATATGCAGATTTGAAATAAAGATAAAATATTGAAAATTTACGTAATTATAATTACCCACTTTATTTCTTTCAAATCCTTGATCCTTGGTATAATCTCAAACCTCAAATTTTTCTTCCTTGTTGAATCGAACTCTTACAACTTTCGATCTATTCCTTTCTAAAATCTCTAAAAATATACAATATAAATTTTCATGTAAATATAAATTAATAACAAAATTTAAAAAAAAAACTGTGGTAAAAATTCACTTACAAATTAGGATTTTCCAAAAATCCAAAATCTTTCTTTTTTCTCTCCCAAAATCCCTTCTCCTCGCTTTTAATCTCTTTTTTTTCCTTATGAAATATCACTTGCTTTAGATGAAGTAAAAGATGACAATTTATACAAAAATGGAACGAAGAATCGGCAAACCTTCTTCCCTCTTTTCTCCTTGCCGTTCTTCTCATTTACCATCGTTTCTTCCAATTCTCCACTTCTTTAACAATAGTAATGAAAAGGAGTTGGTAAATCTTATCCGTGAATGCAATCGTTCGCTAAAAATGGTGAAATGAACTCTCCCCAGTCCCTTTCGCGCAAGTTTGGACATTCGTGCTCTATTCGCTTTTTTCTTTCGCGGGTCGCGACTTAATGCTTTTAATAATTGGCCGGTTCAGTTGAACTAGCCATTACGGTTATCACAATCTCCCTTATAAAAATTTTTTCCTCAAAATTAAATCAAATAAAGAAAACATATCTTAAATAAATAGATGACGATATTGACTTTTCATTTTTGCTTCTTTCTCTCGAGTGACATCTTTATCTGTTCAATGTTTCCATAAAATTTTCACGAAAGATATTGCCCTCTTCCCCAATTATTTCACATCATATTCCAATATTATTTCAGCTTCTTCAATATATTTTAAATCAGGCTGCAAGTCAATTAATTTGGACTGGATTCTATTCTGACACATACTTCCGAAGTATTGATATGTGAAACACATTATGAATTCCTTACATATGCACTGGCAGATCCAATCTGTAAACCATATTTCTAATCCTCTCTATGATTTCAAAAGGACCTATGAATTTTGGACTTAATTTCCCTATTTTTTCAAATCGTTGTATATCTTTTATTGGACTGATTTTTAGAAAATAAATTCTACTACTTTAAACTCAATTGGCATGTATATTGCATCCTAATATTTTCGTTGCCTATCTCGTATTGCCTTCATTCTATCTATGATCAATCTGATTTTCATAGTAGCATCATCCACCAGTTCAGTATCAATTATTTTTCTTTCTCTTGCTTCTACCGAACAAAAGGGTGACTTGGACTTTCTTATATGAAGAGCTTCGTGCGGTGCCATTTCAATATTTTAGACTAAAAGCTGTTATTGTAAGCAAATTTAATCAACGATATGTGAGTCACAATTTTCTCTAAAATAAGAAACCACAAAACCATAATAAATCCTCCAAAGTTTGAATTGTTCTTTTTGATTGTCCATCTGCTGATGATGAAATGTTGTACTGAAAGTTAATCTGGTACCCATATCTTCATGAATTTTCTTTCACAATCTAGAAGTAAAACGGGCATCTCTATCAAATACTATTGATGTTGGAATTCCGTGTAATCTCACAATTTCATCAACATATATTTTTGTCAATTTTTTAACTGAATCCGTCTGTTTGATTGATAAGAAATGAGTTGACTTGATTACTCTATCTATAACAACCCATATAACATCCCAACTTTGCCTTAACCTGGGTAATCCAATCATAAAATTCATTGCAATTTCTTTCCATTTCCATTTAAGTATAGGTAAGGGTTGTTGTTGACCACATGACTTTTGATGTTGTGCTTTAATCATTTGTTAGAGAATACATTTCGCCACAAATTTTGCAACACTCTTATTTGGTTTAGGCCACCAAAATAATCCTCTCAATTCTTGATACATTTTTGTGTTGCCTAGATGAATTTCATAGCCAGAGAGGTGAGCTTATTGTAATATCTCTGTCACGACCCGACCCGGCTAGCCCGAGTTAACGGGGCGGGAGCAAAAAAGTTCGTACAGAAAACTATAATAAAACATAAATAGTTCTAATTAAAAACTTTAATTAGATAACATAATCATCATCCAATATAAGAAAGAGCCACTAACAACAATAAATTCAAATAGTTCCAACCAGTTTAATTGTCTCAAGATCATTAAAACTTTCAACACATCATTACATAAACTACACTTACTGTTCATACTCAGATACAAACTCAAACTTAGACTTAAAATATAAAAACAAATGGAACTTTTCTTCTTCCTGAGGTCCCCTACGACGATAAGTATAAGGTCGTCATGTAGCCATTACTTCTCTCCTGAAAAATATTTCCAAAACAAGAAATGAGCCAACGCTCAGCAGGTAATTCATAGCACAGTTAATTTTATAAGATTCATAAATT